AAAGTTAAAAGCTTTGGCGGACGGCAGCCAACGCCAACGCCCGTTAGCGCCGTGCCAAACAGCGCGGGGGCCATTGAATGCATTGTTTGGCTGTTTCGGAGTGGAAGCCAGTAGGCTGTCATATTCCTCGTGCGAATATTCGGTGAGAGAAATTGTGACAGGCGCGGCCATGGGCGTCGTTTGGCCTTTCAGAGAAAAAAAAAAGGCGTTTTTCCTGCACGAAGTGGACAGATCATCTTGTTCATTTATTTATTACATGCACAGTTATGCAGTTGTGAGATACTGAATATTTTAGATCTTGAGATGGTGAAAAAGGAGGATCTGGTGAGGATCTCTTGTGTTTTAGTGCTTTTTGTTTTGGGTTAGGTGCGGATTGTTTTGGAGAGGTGAAATGTAGGAAAATGGAGGTTTTTGATCGAGTTTTGTATTTTAGGAGGGTTGTAAAGAAAATTTGGTTTTTTATGCTTTGATGTAATAATATTAGCCTGCATGTTAGAGGGCTTAGATTCTCTTGGAACATTGAGGATGTGTCTAATCTAAGCTATGTCGCAGAAACAATTGAGAAAATATTGGTCGAAGTTAGGGGCTGTTTCGGGGAGCTAATTGGGGGTGCGGTGGTGATATGAAAATGCTGCAAACTCAGGGTCCGTTTGGCGCGGCTGTAGGAGAGCAGCGCGGCAAGTTGCTGCTGTTTTCGACAGTTTGGCGCAGCTGCGGTGGAGCTTCAAGTGACCGCGCGGTCGGATTTCAACAAAAAGCGGGCCGCTGGTTATACCCCATGGCCCGGCGTTTCACGTATTTTTTTACCCTGCTGCCTCGATCGGATCTTCTATCTTCTCTTCCCCTCTTCTCTAGTGAGCAAGTCGCGAGGATCTTGCCCGAGAAGAAGGCATCGACGGGATCAACGACTGTGAGGATTACAAACAAGCCCCAAACCTAAACAAAGCCGCAAATACTACGATCCCTCGATGGCGACGTGAGATCTGGAGAAAGATATGGATCCGTCGTTATGTGACTTCCCCTCTGATGCATAAAAAGAACCACGTACTCCCCCTTTCAATTTCTTCCCACCAGAGTCGTTCTCTCCTCAACCTTAAAGCCGCTACTTCCTCGGCATTTTCATCCTCATGAGGTTGGTTTTTGCTTGGAATAGATTTACTCTAGTTTAGAAATTTGCATATAGGTACCAGAAATTTGCACATATTTTATTCTAATACATCAAATCCTTATTGATATTATAATTTTTTTTTTATTTTACTTGTAATTTTATTAATTTTATTTCTTTTTTTTTAGTTCTTTCGGGATTTACTATTAAGTGAGAGTATATGAACTGTCTATTCTGTTTAGAAATGAATTTATGTTTTAGAAGTTTCAAAAATGTAGTTGTTACAGTTTTCTTTTAGACTGTTTTATCAAACAAATACACAATGGTAATTTTTCCAGAAACAGCTGTCTCACAATTATTTTCATATAGTTGTACCAAACATATAGTCAATTTCCTCACAACTGTTTCCTGCAACAGTTTTCTGGAATAGCGCAGCTGCAGCTAAGCCAAACACATACCACATTTCAAAAACACGTTCACCCCACTCATTCGTGCCGCTCCGACGAACTTAAAAATTTCGTTAATAGAAATCGAAGTCAGAAACAGCTGTCTCACAACTATTTTCACATAGTTGTACCAAACATACAGTCAGTTTCCTCACAACTGTTTCCCTGCAACAGCTTCTTTCTGGGATAGCGCAGCTAAGCCAAACGACGAACTTAAAAATTTCGTTAATAGAAATCGAAGCCGGAAAGGAGCCCCGTCCTGCATTGCTTCGCGCGTTAGGGTGAGTAATTCCTCTCGTGCCCTCCCTACTCCCCCTCGCCCTCCCCCATCTTGCCTTCTTCACCCTCGCGGAGGTCGACACAAATGAGGTAACATTCGACTGCTTTCCCTCGCCCTCGCCTCCCTGAATTCGGGTATCACGTTCGCCGTTGAGCTTCGTTTTATCGCCACCTGCTTTCTCTTTCCATTGGAGCCGCTTACCTGTCTTTCATCCTCACCTTGAAACTTAACCCTAGTTGTTATTCACAACATTCAAAACGTTCACGCACACTCTCCTGCGCTTCGTTGTCTGCAAGCTCTGGATCTGAGGCTTGGAAAATTTTGAGGCGAAGTGATTTCTCAAAGCGAGGATTTGGGGCTCGAATACGCTTATTGAATCGGCAGTTTCCGAGTTTTCTTCCGCTAACTGCGCATCAAGTGTCGGTAATGCATTTCTCCAAATCTCTCAATCGTTTGCATTTGTGTTGCTAATTTTTTTAAAGGGTTGATTGTTGTTTATAGATAGAGAATAAATGGTGTTTTTATTTTAAGCTCTTTTTTGCATAAGAAAATGAATTCATCATTGATTCTGGCTGCAGAGAAACAAATTAAAGATTTTAGTATGTTTAACATTCACAGAAATTGTTTTCTAAATACAAGGATCCACGAATAGTGGAGACAGTGGTTTCTCCACAAAACCGATTCATGTGTTCTACACGAGAAATTATTGCATACGGACACCGTATGCATCTCTGCATGCGGTGCCCGATCCTGACCGTAGATCACGGTGATCTGAGATCATGATTATTTTAGTTTTTTTTTCTTAAAAAAAATTAGGTGGGGCGCACCGAAATACATTCTGACCGTAAATCACCTGATTTACGAATCAAGATCGGACACCCAACGCAAGATGCGTGCGGTGTCCGATCCGTATGGAATAATTTTTCGTTCTACACACACCGAAGCTAGGCAATGATCCCTCGTTAAACTTGATGAAATGGATGCTTGTATACCTTCAAAAAATGATTTTTGATTGGATTTGGATTGTTCTTTGGTTGATATAAATTGAGAGTGTTTGGTGTGTTGCTTCATTTTTTGCGACTATCTTTAGGGGTAAAAATTTTTTTGTGCGGACTCCTGACGTAGCTCTACGTGCGGCGCAGGGTATTCCTGAGTTATTTTCAGGTTATTTCTGAGTTATTTTCAATAATCCCGAAATAACCCACAGATAACCCGCAGTCTTTATTTTTGGGTTATTTCGGGTACTTATTAGGGCATATTTTCTTGCTTATAGAGAAAATATGTTTTAGAAGATGGTGATTTCGTTTTTATTATTTATTTTGTTTTTTTATTAATTTGTGCGGTCAATTGAAATCATCACATTTGAGGAATTGAAAGCGTTTGTTTTGTTTTAAAATATTATTAATTTTTAAAATGCATCATATTAAATTCATTGTTTTAAAGAACATGTTTTCTAACATCAATCAATTTGTCAAGGAAATGGATTCCATTTATATATTTAAGAAGTGTTTTTGTTTGTTTTTGGACTGCTCTTTGGTGGTTAAAAATGGAAATTTTTTAGTATTTTGAAGAATTTTTTTTTTTTGTTTTCAATTATTTTATGTGGAAATTGGAATCATCACATTTGAAGGACTTTGAAGATGCTTTTAGGGTTTAAAATTAATATTGATTTCTAATTCCATCCAATTAATTGATGGAATCCGTTAAATTCATTGTTGGAATATGTTAAATTCATTGTTTTTTCAAACATTATTTTGAATTGAAACAATTTGGAAGGAAAATGATATTGTTTATACATAATTTTTTTTTTGGAGTATTTTGGTGAATATAGATTGTTATATTTTTATACTTTGCTTTTATTTTGTGATTGGCTTTTGAAAGTGGTTATTATTGTAGAGTGTTATTAGAGAATAAAAGCTAATATGTTTGTGCAACTAGATTTGGATGGGAGTTGACCGATCCATGTTTGGGTGTCCTCTAGTGTTTGACTTGAATGTTGTTTATCATTATAATGGAAACCATTATAGGCTATGCTATATATGCTACATAAGTTTAGGAGGTTATACAATTGAGAAATTTAGATACGTACCACATAATTTTATGTATTTACCCAAAATTTCGTATTTACATTTCCTTCTTCTGATACTTACGAGAAACTGAGCTGTGTATTCTATTTTTTTAACCGATCTATAACAGTTTGAGGCTTATGTTCTGTGTATTATTTTTCTCATACAGTTTTATTGCAAACAGTTTCACCAAACAGGGGCAAAATGGTCATTTATCCAGCAACAACTATCAATAAGCTATTCTGAATAAGCTTCCCCAAACAGCAAACCAACTTATTCTGATAATCTTATTCTGATAATCTGCAGATTATCAGAATAATTAGCTTATCAGCAGATTATAAATAATCAATAACCGCCCCAAACCGACCCTTAGTTTGCTGCAATATTTTATTTGTCATTTTGGGATCATGACTCTAGCCTCCGATCTGCTTTTTCGAACGACACTCCGATGTTTCCATGGTATGCTTTTTATAGTCAAAACTTTATGAATAATAGAAAATGTAAAATTTATATTGAAACAGTAATATCACTTTATTAAATTTAAATTCATAACGTAGTTTTTTCAGATGTTGCGTTCAAGCGAGCTTATGTGAAAAGTGAAACTTCCTCAAACAAGCAGCTGCAACTTATTAAATAATATGCTGATAAACTAGGTGCGGTGATAATTAGAAATTTTTTATTTTTTTGAAAAATTCGGAGCGCTCCCAGAAAGTTGTCACCGCATGTAAAAATACCGCTTTCAGCGTTTTCAAAACGCATAAACTGCCAAAATGTAGTTTACAAAAACAGTCCAGGTGTGTTTTCAAAACTTCACCGTACCAAATAAACTGTCCCAAACAGACCTTTAATTATGTGCAGTAGCTTAAAGATTTGAGTAGATCCATATAAATATGAATATGTTTTGGTGTTAGATATGAAAATGCATGAGTGTTGTATCGTATGTATGTAAATATATAGTTTATGCTATTGACTTCTAATGTTTTCTTTGAATTTGTAGATAATATTCATTGTTTTTTACAATAAAATAGGTTAATTTAAGAAGAATTGTGTACCAAAATGGGCTTTTTTTTCTTATGATGTTATAGTCTTTATTCTGTTAAATCAAAGTTGCAGTTCATATTGAATAAAATCTAAATTATTGAAATATACAATTCGATGAACTTTTAAACTACCTGTTCTTCTATCAGATAAACAACAAAATACATTAATAAATGGTCAATTCTGCTCACCATCTTTCCCTTTCAGTTTGTGAGGATCGAATTATCGCAACTTTCATTAAATAAGTCATGTGAATGTCTTTCCTTTCTTGCTTACTGTCGCCACAGTTCAAAACCTCTCCTTTCTTCCTGGATCTTCTTTTTCCTGATTGTGCAAATAGCATGAATCGCATTGATCAGACGGTCTCCACTCATTTCTTTTCCATTCGAGCTTCCCATGCTTGACTACTGAAAAAATTATTATGTCCGGAGTCCGGATGCAAGCTGTGTCCGGACAACGAGCGTGATGCACGGATCACGTGCGAGATTTTTTTTTTCCCTCTAATGCATCTCACTCGCGATCCATGCATCGTGCCCGTTGTCCGGACGCGCTCAACACCAACTTGTTTACCTCCTTTCTTCTTGATTTAAGGAGCAAGAGATAAGGTTGTTAGAAATAGAAGACAATTAGGATTAAAGGAATGCTAAAAAAAACAGATGACCATAACTTGAAAGATTCTTTTTTTTTTTTAATAAATTTCTTTTTGATACAAAAAATGAGTGACACAACAACTATTATACTAGTGTTATCTCGATTAGAATTGTGCAAACATATTTCAATCATGTGACTTCTATTAACTCTCTAGAATATTCTCCTATACAAGTCATTAATTACATATTCTAGAATTTTTTAAATCAATTTTTTGAAGCATGTCTATAAAATATTCTAAAACTTTCTGTTAGAAAGTATCTCTAGAAATTTTCAAAGAGCATTCTAGGTTATATGCTCAATTAAAGTTTAATTCTATATAGGCCAAAAATCAAGTTTAATTTTTCAACACCGCCTCTTAAATTTGAATTTCATCCTAAGTAACCTTTTTTTATTCTGATAAAATCTTCATACTTGATTGACTTGGTGAATATATCAGCTGCTTTATCTTGATATTTCACATACTCTATTTTCACACCATTTCTTGTAATGCAGTCTCTAATGAAGTGATAGGATGTGTCGATTGTGTTTACTTCGATCAATGAAAAAAGAATTATTTCTTTCTCTACCAAAACTTTAACTTCTTAAATAATATAAAGATCTCTGGTTTTTTCTTCAAAATAATATCCAAGTTTTTTTTTTTAAATAACATCTAGGAAGAAAAGAAAATAATTACTTACTAAGAGAGTTTAACTTGGTTGAATCACAAGCATTTGTACTCCCTTGGAAATATGTTTAAGCTCAATTGACTTTTGTGCTCTCAAATTTTACTTCTTTGGTAAACCCTTCCTGAATTGTTTCACGAGAAGGCAACCTTCACATATTTGGTTGGGATGATTGAAGCAAGGCTGACCTCTCACCATTTTTTTTCTTTGATAATAGTTCTAATCCTTCAAAATTAAGATGCCTAAATCAAAGTTGTCAAAGCCAAGATGAATTTTTATAACAGGCTTTGAGACCTTGGTAATATCATTTTGAATATTAAATAAGAACTTTCTATTTGTTGACATTGATATCCTTGCAATTTTGTTACTCATATTGTCTCTGATAGAAAGGTTATTATCTTTCAAATGAGAATAATTATCTTTATTTAATAGCTGACCCAGACTTAGGATATTACTCTTCATATTTGACATATTATAAGCATTGAGAATAATTGGTGACTTCCATTCACTACTCAAATAAAAATTTTGTTTCTGCATTTTCACCCATGCCTTGGACTCATCTTCAAATGATACACTGTCACTCATCGACTCGTAAAACTCCACGAACTTGTTTTTTCTCCCACACATATGGTTGCTTACATCGATGTCCAGATATTACATGTTATCTTCACGTTTTTCATTCTTCATATATGTCAGTAACAAAGTGTCATCTTATTAATTTCTTCTTCTACATAATTAACATTCTCTTCAATTTTATTGTTATCGGAAGCTCCACATTTTATAACACAACAACCAAATTTTCGTCCTGTTGCACCTTAGCCTTAATTTTCCTCTTTTATGCCCACTTATTGATCTTCCTCCTAGTCTAAAATTGACATTATTATTACTGTCATTGTTGAAACTCCTATTTCGTCCATGTCCATGACCACGACCTCTTCCTTGTCAACTTCTACCGTATGTTGGGCTCCCTTCTTTAATTAATCTAAGTTGTGACTTCATAATTTGTTCGATGATCCTTTGCTTCTTTTTCTTTTCTTTATAGACTTATAAAGAATCGACGAGCTGATCAATTGTCATAGTCTCAAAGTTTTTGGTTTTTGTAATGATGAAGATAATATGATCGAACTTTGGATCTAAATATCAAAAGATCTTCTCCATATTTCTTACATCTTCTAGCTTCTTCTTATTTATCATTATTTGGTTATAAATTACTAAGACTATAGTAAAGTAGTTGAAGATGGCTTTAACTTCTTCCATATGTAAGTCTTCAAACTCACATCTTAATGTTTGTAGACGCACCTTCTTGTTTATCCATTTCATTTATAAGAGGTCTGAAGATTATCTCATGTCTCTTTGGCTGACTTTGCATCAAAAATCTTTTCAAAAGTCTCATCATCTAATCCTTGATAGATTAGATAAAGAGCCTTATTGTCTCTCTTTCTTGATTCTCTTAGACTATTCTTTTGAGTTTGGGATAGACTTGACTCATCTTATGACTAGTTGTAGTCTTTCTTTACCATTTCTCATACATCTTGTGCTCCAAGAAGGACATTCATCTCAATGCTCAAATTGTCGTAGTTGTTATTGCTAAGCACGGGGACTTGAAAGAGAATCATATTATTGCTCGCCATCTCCCTAGAAAGGATCTTATGGCTTTGATACCACCTTGTTTGAAATAAAATGCTATTAAAAAATGAGGACTGCTAAGAAAGAAGAAGAGCACAACTTGAAAGACTCACTTTTATTTCAATATTTTTCTTGTTGATACAAAATTCAAACATGCCACACATATTTATAATAGTGGCATCTCATAATTATGTCAGCATATTTCAATTGTACGACTATTATTGACTCTCTAGAATGTTTTTTTACATAAGTCACTAATTACAAAATTATAAAATTTTCTAAATCACTCTCTTAAAATATGTCTATAGAATATTCTAAGACTTTCTTTTAGAACGTGTCTTTAGAAAAATTCAAAGATCGTTCTAGATTATGGGTTCAATTAAAGCTAAATTTTATATGAGCCAAAAATCAAGTTTAATTATTCAACAAAAGCAACCCAACCCTTCAACCCGAACAATCACCCTAACTCTCTAAACTTTTCTACATTGCCGCTTCCTTCTCCCAAGGCTCCAACTGCAACCTTCCCTTTCCTCTTTACCCAACCTTAAATGTTGAGCCTCTTTCTTGGGCCCGAGCAATCCCTCTTTTGCTCTCACTTCCTTTATTTTACCTCACCGGCAACCCTCCTCTTTGTTTATTTATCTTTCCTTTCTCCTCAAATTAGTTATTATATGTTTCTTCGCAAGCATCCTATAAGCTTTTCACCACCTCGGAGTAGGGACAATATGCAATTATGTTCACTTCTCTGTCATACGTAAATAATAATAATAATAATGTATTTTTTGGTTGTTGGGTGTTTAGGCATATTTTTGTTCAACATCTTTCGATGACGCTTAAATAGATTAGAATTTTCTTATCGATCATCTTAAGGTATGAAACTATTATTTATTAAGAGATAAATTTATTCATCATTATTATGGGCATTAATCTTTTCGCTTGTACTAGATTTCTAATTACTTTGTAGGATTGACAATCCTAAATATTTTGCTTTATGTATCTTAATGCACACTTATTATAGGATTCTTTAATTATTTATCATATGAATTTGCTTGTCTTGATTTATAACTTTTGCAGTCGTAATGTTACTTTTCTTACTCTTTATTATGGTTAATTGCAACAAATTTTCTTTATGTTATATTCATGCTTGAAATATTCATATTATTTTTTATATTGGTTATATAATACCCATTAAAATATTTGTAGTTGTGTGCTTATGTGTAATAGCATGTAGCT